CATGTGCTTTCTTCAGCAAGTATGGTTGGACTTGATGATCTTAAAGGTCTTTCCCGACTTAGTTGGTTCTGTGATTCTAAGCTTTAGGCCAGTGTGTCTGACTCTGCTTCATCTTGTACCTGGGGGTTTTCTTAGATCTCCAGGTCTTAGCTGGATGGTTTTATCTTATCACCACCCTTTGACATAGAGAAATATTAATCCAGTTTCTAGAAGAAGACTGGAATTTTGCTTAATTAAATACCAGCCAATAAGACAGGGTAAGGTTTTGGCAGGACCAAGAGCTGAGCAGAGATCTTGTCTGTCCCACTCGGTGCCGTGTTCAGTAGGACATCATCTGACTGCTATCCTTGAAGCTACCAAGTCTGGTAATGACCAAGATGATGACACTTTTATGTATATATGCATGTGTATATATATAATAGATATGTATATATATACACACATACATAGAAAATAGATTTTCTTGCTTGAAGAATGCCTCACAAGAGGTTTTTGCATCTATTTTTTCCTGCCTTGGCTTCCATGTGACCTGTTGTTGACAAAGCAGTGGGTGCACCCTCCTCTGGTGGGGCAGCTAGGAGAGCACAGTAGCCTGGTTCTGGCAGTAAAGCCAGGATTTCCATTCCTTTGTGCCCCCGTGTCCCTGTTAGGGATAAACAGTCCCTCAAGCACTGTGAACTTGGAAGTTCATTACTGAGCTGTTGAGTATTGCTGTCCTGAAACTAAGCCATGACTGAATTGAGAAGGCATATATTAAACAAGCCTTCGGTTCTGGAACACTGAGGTACTACAGAAACATTGAGGTACTAAGAAATTTTGTGCTGATTTAGTGTTTTTTCCTTTAGAAAGTGTAGGAGTTTCAGTTTCTTGCCTGAACTGCCCAGCTTAAGAAATTTGCCATCATTTGAAGTGGTGACAGATCCCCACGGCTTGCATTTGGGATTCTCATGCTTTCTGTTCAGTCATCCCAAGGAGCTACGTATTAATCAAGTTCAGCTTTTACAGCGCCTCTGTGAGATGGAATTATCATCACTTGTCAGGTGGGAGCAGAGCAGTACATGGTCTGACCTGCCCGAAATCGTGCTGCAGACCTGTGTCAAGGCAGGAGTGGATTCCTTCCTCCCCTCCCCTTAAAATCATCCTTTCATGCAAGTGAAGGACTCGCATCTACATAGACACGTCGCTTGCGCATCCTGCTCTCCAGTAAGAGATGCTGCCTTAACAAACAGTTCTCTCGGCAGCAGCATCTAGCAGCTATCAGCTGGTTTTATTCCAGCAATGGACAGCTTCACCTTCGGGGCTGCACTGCGACGGCTGGACTCATCCCTCCTGCAGGCTGCGCATCGTCTGAACCGGGCGCTGCACATGGGCTGGCTGACATAATAACCGATTGCTCTGTATAGCTTTAGTAATGTGAGCATTAATATTGATCCAGCACTGACTTCTCTAACAACCAAGAAAAAAATGTATCTGTTATCTTGAGAAACCTCCCAAACAGCTTCAGTCTCCTTTCATTACAGGAGAGAGTTATTAGGGCAGATGGCCGAGGTGATATCCATTTGACCTATAGATGCTAACTCGAGTCGGTTCATTAATAAGGTGGCCGGAGATAGGGAGAGGTGGCAGTAAAGAGAGTTAAAAAGCAGTCATGTGCACAAAGGACTGCACGTTGGGAAGTGCCGGGTAGTGAATGAGACGGACAGGGGTGAGAAAGTGGCTGCACGGTTTTAAACGCTCATCACCAAGTCAAGCAGATTCCACCTAAAAGCTGATGTTTTCCCATATTTGGTGCCTGCTCCGGTGTGAGTCCTTTGGGAGGAAAAAGAGCCTATTGCACTTGAATGCAAGACAGAGGTTTCACTTTCTGTGATTAACCCCCCCCCCAAATAAAAGTGCTGTGTTGTTTTCTGCCATGGCCACAGCTGTGGTGGCTCAGGTTTGAAAGCTGCTGCCTGGCACAAGCCCAGTCCTCACTGAAGGATCAGCCCGTGGCCTCCTTCCAAGAGAAATTTGGATTTCATTTGGCCACGACAGGATTCCAGATTGTCATCTGAGCATGTCTGAGAAGTGGTGAGTGTGTGTCAGTAGTTCAGTGCTCGTGAACTTCCTTAGGCCCTGGGTTGCTCAGGACTGACCCAGGCAATTTTTTCCAGATGTTTTGGGGGAATCCAAGTCCATATAAAAGGGATGGTAATGCTGCTGCTTCCTTACTGAGTTGTCTTTGTGGCTTGCAGGAATGTGCATGAAAGCTGGAGCCAAGACACCCCGATTTCTAGTCTCACCTCTACAAACTGCACTTTAACCTCTTCTGCCCTTCCCTGGCATCTCCGCACAAGATCACAGACACTTGGTGGGCCCGGTGCAAACTTTACTTGGCCTTATTAAGAAAGGAACAAGCGTTGCTCTTTCTTCTCGTTGTGCAAAACCCCGGTCCCTGCTCTCCAAACCTCCTCTGGAATTGTTTGTTCGCCTTTGATCCGGCAGCTGCTGCTGTTCTGCAGTCCTGAGCAGGGAAAACATGAGAAGCACCTTGGGATGGGAAGGAGTTACAAGAGTATGAATTATCGTGATACACAGTGGAAAAGAGGCTGGGTTAGCAGAAATCTTTAGCAAAGAAATGTCCTGATTTTTGTAGCAAATGCAGGTTTTTGCAGTAGTTTCCCTTCCACTTTATTGACTCTTTATCCCTGTGTTTCTTTATATCCAAATGGTTCATGTTGCTATCAGCACGATCAAGCCCTGTCTTCCCTGATGTTTGAACCGGGCTACACTTTTCGTCTTGCAAGCAGTGCAGACGACTTCTCAGCATCCCCGTTTTAAAGCATGGTGTTTGTTTTACATTTTATCACCCTTTAAAACCTGAAATGAAAACAGACTCAGCGGCGCACGCGGTGGCGTGGGCTGGGGAGGAATTGCTCGGTAGCAGTCTGCGCTGTGTGACATCTGATGAATGCTAATTCTTCATCCCCAGAACAGTCTCGAGCAGATGAAGGCAGCTGATTTCTGCAGCAGCTTAAGCAGAGATTGAAATGACTTCCATGATCTGGCAGCAGATTTTTTCCCCCTGTAGCAGGTGCAGGCTCGGTCCACGGAGATTTCTCAGTTATACTCTAAAGTTTGCAGTTTATAAACTGTAATGTCAGTGCCCAGCCAGGCAAAACCGAACTCCCAAACACTTCTGTTCTTCACGGAAGGCTAAGACTTTATCCTCAGGCAAAGGCTCCTCTCTGGGCTGGCTGCTGTAAATCCTCTGGGCCCTGGCAAAAGGCAGAGTTGCTAGCTCATTTTACTTAATTTGTGATGCTGGCAAGATTTGTGCTGCAGCCCAGGGCTCTTGACTCAACTCTCCTAAATCAGAGCATTGACACATTACAGCAGAGAAACAGCAGCACAGGAAACCTGGAAGTAAATGCCTTGAAGAGACATATTTCAGAAAGATGCTGCCTGACAAAGCTCTAAATGGTGTCGGTGTAAAGAGTTCCTCAGGGTTTGCTTCTTTAAAACTTCCTCCTCATTAAGAAGTCGGGGTTTAGCCACTGTCATAATAAATGGGGTTTACTGCATGTTCCATGTGAGAATCTCAGGGCACTTGATATCTTTGCACAGAAACCCTGCTAGACAAAATGTCATGCGTTTTTGCAGGTGGATAAACAGAGACACAAGGGGAAGTGAAGTGGGGTTGTCGACACAAGAATGTTAACCAGCAGAGGTGTAATCAAGTAATGACAGCAAATATAAATGTGTCAGGTTAAGGCCGGTGTGGACATTCATATCCCAGACTAAGAATCCTTTCTCCTGCTTGGATAATTCCATTTTTGAGAGTGAGGAAGTATAGCCAAGAGGATAAAGTGCTTGGCTGTGGTTGGGGAGATCAGAGATTCTCTTCTCCTCAAACCTGCTGTGGATTTCCTGGGAGATCTCAAGTGAGTTTCCTCCATTCTCTGCACCATAATGTCTCATGTGTAGGACTGAAAATGGTGTTAAATGAGGGGAGAAGAATAATAATTGCTATTAAACAAAAAACCAGAGCAATCACACAGGTGGTACCCACAGTGGCTTGAAGCGATTGGTGCTTGATGTCCACACTGTGCATGTTTCAGGTTTATCTTATCTTCAAAAGCTGGTTTTCTGGCCTCTTTGCATGAATGCCCACTTGTGACTGGAGCATGTTGGGTGTATTTCGGCAACATAGCTTTCATTTTGGTTTCACTACAGCAGGAAGCCAGCATATGCACTCCAGGATTGCTCATGATGCAAACAAAACAACAGGAAGGGGGGGAATGCATTTCGAAGGCATGCTCCTGATCCAAACGAACACACACATGCAATGCTGGGGTGTTCCTATTAATAACAGATAACATCCACGTGCAGCAAGTGCTTAAGATGGTATCAGAGGCAGAACCAAGCAGGCTGAATGGGGCTTAGTCCTCTTCTTTAACCTTCAGACTGTGCTGCTTCAAGGAAAACAACCCAGATTTAAGAAGGCATTTTCCTAGTAGTTAATTTGCAATCAAAATTGTGGGGTATAGAGGCAAGACAGGGAATTCCAATGAATTTTGCTTTCATGTATGCCTTGAAGTTCTCCGTTACAGCAAAAAAATGCTTCAGCCTTTCTCCCTCCCTTCATTTAAAATGAAGCAGGTTCATGTTATTGTGATCCCAACAACTTCAGTAAGAAATAATTAGGATGCTTTTAGGTAAAACTGATGCTTTACACCTGCTCCACAAGGTCTGTCGCTACTGTTGAGCTCTTCCCTCATATCCTTTGCTCATGGGTTTGGCATTACACTGTGATGAGGGCATCTGCCAGTTGTGATGGTGGCTAGCGCAAGGCGGGAGATGCCACTTTTTCCTTCCAAGTGGACCAGCAAGAAGCTGTTGGTTGGCCTGTTACCTCTTACAGGCTGAGGTGCATGTGAACATCTGCTGTGATGCTTGTTTGTTTCTGTAAAACACATTTCAGTTATCCTAATGCCTTTGTAATATGTTCTTTGCTACAGAAGAGGAAGAGGAACAAGTGCCCACCGATGGAGGTACATCTGCAGAGGCCATGCAGGTGCCACTGGAAGAAGAGGGAGACATGGAAGAGGATGAAGCAATTAATGATGAGAACTACTTGAGCAGAAGACCATTGGACAGTCCTGATGCTGAGGAGTTTCCACCTGTGAAACGGCCAAAACTCTCAGTTTCCAAAGGGGACACCTTGGACGGGGCTTTGGAACCACGTGAACCTCTTAGCTCAATAAACACTCAGAAAGTACCACCAATGCTTTCTCCTGTTCATGTTCAGGACAGTACAGACTTAGCCCCTCCTTCACCAGAACCACCAATGTTGGCTCCCATTGCAAAATCGCAAGTGCCAACCCCCAAAACTTTGGAGGCAAAGCCATTTGTACCCAAAACTAAGTCCAAAACAAGTTCTCCAGGACAGAAGACGAAATCACCTAAAACTACACCTTCCCCAGTGGTAACCGGAAGTCCCATACGTTCACCAAAAACTGGATCCAAAGAGAAGAAGTCACCGGGTCGCGCCAAGAGCCCAAAAAGTCCTAAAAGTCCAAAGGTTCCTGCTCATGTTCCTCAACCACCGGTCAAGCCTGAAACACCAAGTAGAACCCCTCTGGCTGCATTAAGTGACAAGGTAGGAAAGGAAAACATTCAAGTAAAACAAGGGCAGACGCCACCTGAGCCTACCACCAAGCCAAATATTGAAAACCAGACTAAGAAAGTACCAGTGATGGACAAAACCATCGATGATTCAATCGATGCTGTCATTGCTCGTGCATGTGCGGAACGAGAACCGGATCCCTTTGAGTTTTCCTCTGGTTCTGAATCAGAAGGGGAGATTTTCACCAGTCCGAAAAGGCTTTCTATATCGGAGACTACAACTCCTAAACCTTCTGTTTCTGCCAATAACACAAATAAGGCAGGAGCGACTCCGATACCTCCCTCAGGTGGAACTTCAAGTTCAGACATTTCATGGACAATGGATGACTCAATTGATGAGGTCATTCGAAAGGCAAACATGGGGACACCTTCTAATCCACCTACCAACTTCACTTACTTCTCCTCTCCTTCCACTTCGCCGCCAACTCCAGAACCTCTTCTCAAAGTCTATGAGGAGAGAGCCAAGTTGGCTGCATCAGTAGAAGTGAAAAAGAAGTTGAAAAAAGAGCTGAAGACAAAGATGAGGAAGAAAGAAAAACAGAAGGAAAAAGATAAAGAGAAAAGCAAGGAGAAGAATAAGGAGAAGGAAAAGAACAAGGAGAAGGAGAAAGACAAGGAAGGAAACAAGGAAGCAAAGTTTCAGTGGAAGGAACTACTCAAAGAAGATGATCTTGATCCCTATAAATTCAAACTAAAGGACTTTGAGGATGCTGACACAAAAGTAAAGTTGAAAGATGGCAATACCAAAAAAGACCGAGAAAAACATAAAGATAAAAAGAAAGAGAAAGAGAAAGGCAAAAAAGACAAGGATAAGAAAGACAAAGAGAAACTTAAAGATAAGAGTAAGGAAGATAAGATAAAGGCTCCATCAGCACCTCTTGTGTTACCTCCCAAAGAAATGCCTTTGCCCTTGTTCAGCACACCAACTGCCATGAGGCTCCCCAGCATGTTACCTTCCTTGTCTCCAATGCTTCCTGAAAAACTGTTTGAGGACAAAGAGAAACCAAAAGAGAAGAAGAAAGACAAAAAAGAGAAGAAGAAAAAGAAAGAAAGGGAGAAGGACAAAGAAAAGGAAAAGAAGGAGAAGGAAAAGGAGAGGAAAGAAAGGGAGAAGAAAGAGAAAGAAAAAGAGAAACACAAACATGAGAAGGTAAGCTCCTTAGTTGGGTTGAGGTGGTATACTTGCTTGGAAAGCGCTCATGGATTCCTGTTTTTGCTGCTGAGTGTTGTTCAAGAGCTCTGAGGAGATGTGTGGTTACAGGTTTGGTTAAGCTTTAAAAACAACAGCTCCAAGGAAGATACCCGTCAAGAGTTTCAGGGGTTGTCCCACCTCTTTGGAAGATAAAACAGTGGAAGCTCAGTCCTGTGAATTTGAGATGTGAGTTTATCCTGGTTTTCCTCAACTCAGTTTTCCCTTCGAAAAGGTTGGACTCATCCTCAGCAGCAGCACACACACATGAATGTATGTAGTGTTGCAATGCACAGATTTGGTTCCGTAGATTTCCACTGGTAGGGCCAACAACCTTATACCTGTGTCATATAGGCTTTAATTTATAGTTTCAAAGCTCTAGACGCCTGTAGGTTACGAGGTAGAGAGAAATGAGGAGCAGACCACCTGCAAATGAACACGTTCACACGCAGTCTCAGATGCTCAAAAGAGCTGTTGAATTTTCTCTTAGCAAGACTGTAATTTGTTTGAAGTAAGACAGTTGTTCTGAAATCATGGCCCAAATGTCACCTTTCGTTTTGAGTCTGATGCTTGAGAGAGAGAAGGGGAGAGCTGATTGTCAAGTGGGTTGAGCTCCTTCCACTCCTGTAACTCTTACTGATTTGCATCAGCCAAAGATAATTTCTTCTTTCCAATATCACCTAATCTTGAGAATATAGTTAATATTTCAGAAATGAAACCAGCATATTTGCATGTTATCAGATTGGAAATCCCATTAGAATCGGCTCCTCTGGTTCAGGGTTTGCTCTAATTTTTTTGTCACTTCACCTTTTAATACGCATTAAATTGTTAATAAAAAAAGAAGAAAAAGAAAGAAGAAAAGAAAGATTGTCTTCGTATGTGATAACCTTGGATAAAGGATTTCCTAAATCTCTATCCTTAGCAGTAGGAAGCACTGTATAACTTGTGGTTTTACCAAGAAGCTCTTTACATCCTGCTCTGAGTGTGCTACTCAATTCATACACGCTCAGATGTGAGATATTCCTCACCTTCCTCCTTTGCCATTGTACCCTGTGCTGCTACCTGCTTACTGAACCTGAAACAAGCCCCTGATACCCAAACTTGACATGTTTTTTAAGCTGACAAGTGATTTTCCATGCAGAATCTGGGTGATCTGGAGCACTAACATTTGGCTGCTGTGGATGAGTCACTGGTGGCCCAGTTGTCCATGTTAATTCAATGTCTGGGTTTAGACTGCAGCAGCACTTCCATGGATTCCCTGTTTTGTCTGCCTGCTGCTCCTCATGCCTGAGCTGTTTTGTCAGTATTCCACTGAGAGTTTCTGCGAGGAGTCATGGAATCAGAATGGCTTGGGTTGGAAAGGACCTTAAGATCATCCACTTCCAACCCCCAGCTGGGAGCAGGGACATCTCGCACTAGACCGTGTCACCCAAGGCTCTGTCCAACCTGGCCTTGAACTAGAGATTGAAGTTAAATGCATGTTTATATAAAGCAAAGTTTCCTGGTTTTCATCCATTTGATATTGCATTTCTTCTGCAAATCTCTTCATCTAGTTTGCTTTAGAGCAGCAGAACAGATACAGAAACAAATACACCTGGTAAAGCTTTAGCATAGACAGAAACATTAGGAAATATATATACATATAGGAATATAGAAATATTAGGAACCATATATATATATATATATATATATATATATGTTAGTGTGAGGTGTCCCTGCCCATGGTAAGGGGCTGGAAGTAGATAATCTTAAGGTCCTTTCCAACGCTAACTGTTCTATAGATGATAGAATATATATATCATATATATAATTATATATATATCATATATATGGTTCTATATATATATGTGAGTTCAACAGGAATAAAAACATGGACAAATTAAACTGACAAGGCTGCCCATTGCCTCGGCATAAAGTCCCTGTCGAGAGATAAACTTGAAAGCTAAAATGCATGAAAAAGTCCCCAGATAGAATTAAAATTTAAACTGATTTTTGATAGATAAGCTTTTTTTTATCTTTTTTTTTATTTTTTTTTTAATCCACCTCTTTGGTGCAAGTCAGGATTTTCCAAATAAATTTTCCCCTTTAAATCTCTGGAGCGATTCTCATTTTTTGCAAGGCCGCACTGCTGGTGTCCTGGAAAAATGGAGAGTTAGAGCTTTATCAGTTGGTGCCCTGAGGTATGTGGCAAAGAAGCTAAATCCTTGAAGATTAGCAAAAAAAATGCAGCACATGGCAATAAGGGGCTTATATGACTACTAGTATTAGTTCAGGTGAAAGAAGTATTGCTTATACATAAAACTGGACAAATCCACTGACAATGTATTTTTAGTTAGCTACAAAGGAGTCTTATATTGCTGGACTTTACCTCTTTGGTGATTTGGGAAGCTTAGTAATCCACTGTAAATGCTCTTCTGCTGGCCCCAATTCCCTGTATTACCCCAGAATGCTGCTCTTCCGTTTTAACCCCTAAAAGTACGTGTTTCCTTAATTTAGCTTTCAGATCACACAATGCTTATTTAGCCAGCAGTTGTGCTGTAAGAGCAGATGACTGTGTTACTGCTCAGACTTCATGGTCCCTCCGCCTCAGAGGTGGAAGTGCCACCTGAAAGGTGAGTTTGTGGTCTCACTGCAGTGTCAGCTCTTGATGGCCAGTACAAAACATCGGATTTCTGTTTCTGCTGTCACTGTATTTGCAGAGTAACTCAATGATAATGTTTTCATTCTGGAGTGCTCTTACAGTTCTTACCTAGGTGTGATTCCCATCCTGTTGGGAAGCTCGTAGAATCAGAGAGTGGGTTGGAAGGGACCTTAAAGCTCGTCCAGCTCCAACCACAGCTTCTCTGGGCACCCTGTGCCAGCGCCTCAGCACCCTCACAGCGAAGAGCTTCCTAATATCTAATCTAAATCACCCCTCTTTCAGCTTAAAGCCATTCCCCCTTCCCCCATCACTCCATGCCCTCATGTGTCGAAGCTTTTTATCCCCTTTTGCCTGTAATTTTACCCCTGGAAGACACAGAAGAGCAACCGGTACCCTCCATAAATGGCAGGAGGCAGATCTGAAGGCTTCATGCTGGAAGCCTTCGGTGGCAGCACCGAGGAAGAGCAGCTTTGTGCGGGGCTTGCCTGCAGCTCTGTGCTCCGCAGCAGCCCCGGGGTGCTGCCCTTGGGGCCAGAAAAGGAGGCAGTGAGCTGGGGTGCTGCCTTCCGTGCGCTGCCGGATTGAAAGCAAACACTTGAAGCAGTTCCACACTCCTTCTACTACGGAGATTACTGAGTGTGTTATGGGAGTGACTGAGCAGCTCAGGAAGCTGCTGCTGACCCAGTTTCAGCCTTAACCTTAATACACCGAGCTGTGCACGAAAGGGGTAGAGGAGCTGCTTCCTGAGAAACGGAGCTGTCCTTGCATAAGGGCAAGGCTTGTTGGAGCTGCCCCAAAGCAAGCTGCCCCTGATCGGGAATCACAATCGTACCACTGATATCGAGGACCAGGCTATGCAGGGTATGGCTGTGAATGCTCCTTAATTTTCTCCCTGCTCTGCTTGTGCAAACCCTACACGCAAACCCGTGTTGTAGAAAATTGCTTCCTCTTGTGTTGTATCAAAGGATGAGATTTAGGATTGCCATGGAATACAGTTTTCCTCTCAGGGAGACTGTGATGTGGGTATCTGAGCTTAAAAAAGTGGTTTATTTGCTTTTCTTCTGCCACACGAACCCACACCACTGTTGTGTGGAGCAATTTGCCCCATCCCGCAGTGCTCAAGTCCAGGTTGGACGGGGCTTGGAGCAACCTGCTTTAGTGGAAGGTATCCCTGCCCATGGCAGGGGGTTAGAACTGGATGAGCTCTAAGGTCCTTTCCAGCCCAAGCCATGCTGTGATTCTGTCTTTGTGGTGCACAAATAACAACACAAAGGACCTTCCTGCAAAGCATGGATGACATAGGTGTCTTTCGGTGCTGTGTGCTGCAAGCTAAGCAGCAGTGCCTGTCCTAGAAAGCTTTGTATTCAAAATAGGCACTACAAAAGGAGGAGAAACGTGCTGGAAAAGAGGTAAGATAATCTGTGCAAAGCCGTGTTCCTGAGCCCTCTGTACCCAGGGTTCAGTTCCATGCCTCTATCCCTTGGACATCGCCACAGGTGAAGATGCTGGAAAAGCAGTTAAGAGATGTACCTGTGGGAAGTGGCAGTGGGATTGTTGCAGGCATTAGGAGCTGCAGAGCAATAAAGCTTTTGCAGCACTCCAGGGGAATGACATAACAAAGAAATCATGCCATATAAACAAAAGAGTAGAGAGGCCTGTGGAGTAAGCTAATACATATCAATAGAGAGCTTCACTGAAAAGCATGGTTAACTGTGTTCACAACAGAAATACCACTCAGGCTGCAGCCCTCCTCTCTCTGGAGTAGATGAGCAACTCCAGTTCTCTGGGCAAGGTATGTGGCACGTGGCTTTGTCATTGCCATTCCACAATGTAAGTCCTAACTGAGTCCTCCCACCCTGGCCTGCTGCCTCCTGCTCTGCTTTCTGTGCCTTGAACGGATCGTTTGCCCCCTTTCTCTATGAAAGCTTTCCAAACCAGATGTCTCCCCCTGAGTTTTGCTCACGTTTCCATTTAGTGGATGCAGACTATTTCTGTCTCTTGTAAGTTCCTGGATCAGATTCAGCTAAGTGGTTATTTTATTAAATGTGATGATGCACATGCTTAAAATGAGATCAGTCTCCCTTTCTATCTATATATACACATAGATAATGTATATACACTTATATATGGATATAAGTTGAGCATCGTATGTATGGAGAATCATTAGTGTCAACTGTAAAATCTGAGATGATTCTGTGCAGACTGTGCAAAGCAGTAGCCCAATGGGACTTGGTAACTTTGGCAGACACCAATTCAAAGAGCTTAAGGACATACTCAAGAGGTTTAAATTCCACCAGAAACTGAGGTTGGAAACTGGGCCATTTGAAAAATAGCCATTAGAAGCCTCAGTCTAATTGCATTGAAAAACAATGGTTCACTTATACCTATGTGGATAAGCACTTTCATAAAGTATCCAGTGTTGGTGCTTGGGTTTTATTTGCTTCCTCTGTGTCTACTTTTAGTTCAAGAGGGTCACCGTACACTTACATGAGGAACCTGGGAAATGATTAAATTTCCATCTCAGAAATGCAGACACCAATGGGTACCTATCGAGTTTGAGGACTAAGGTCAAAGCATTTCAGATCGTTGTTTAGAAGCATACTGAGGGGTTGTGTCTCTAGGAGGTGCAAATGCAATGACGTTTCAAGTCTAGAATTGATATTTATGATCTGCTGCAGTTGGGAACTCCCAACTAAACACTGACCATCATCCATGCCACAGCATGAAGCGTGAGAGAGCAGTGATCAGCCTCTCAGAGGTCTGTCTCATTAAGCTCACAGGCTCCGGTGAACTCCATCAGTGCTTTCATGTAATTAATGTATTTGGGGAGTCTGCTTGCAGTCTCTGATTGATGATTGTGTTCCCTTGTACAGATAAAGGTGGAACCAGTTGTTCCAGCTCCATCACCAGTTATTCCTCGGCTGACATTAAGAGTGGGTGCAGGCCAAGACAAGATGTAAGTACAAATAAATCCATCTCTGAGGCTTATGTTTACCACAGTTCATGCTCTGTAACCTGTGGCAGCTCTTATTTTCAGTGGGAAATGCTTAAAAATCAGTGGCAAATTATTGATACAGCTATTACATCTTTTGACCATCCATCCTGCTGTGTTTCTCACTCCATGCCTTTCTAGGGCATGGATTACAAGACTCCGTCTAGACTCATATGATGCCTCCGGTGACGTTTAGTGAGGTTTCTGTAATGGATGGTTACTCCTAGTGTAACCTACAGCGAAGTTTCACAACACTCTTCAGCTAACAGTTGTTTTATGCTTTAAAACATAACACTTGGAGTGCCTTTATGCACGTCTGTTTCATTATAACTGTTGGTGATTATTTATGAGCGTACCTAACGCATTTCACATGGCGGTTCATTAGCTCCCTAATTACTGGGTGCTGTTGTACAAATAATAGTTACTTTGTACTGAGATCATCCAGCACAAACAGGCAGCTGGAGAGGCTGGGGAAGCCACGCCGGCACTGGCCTTTTTAGGCTGGGCCTGTGCTGTATGTGAAGGGTTTCTTTTAATCGCTTTTTTCGTGTTGGTTTTAATGGCTGGTGGGATGTGTGAGCCCCAGACAAATCTTTCCTTTCCATTCATCACATTATGTAGTTGTTTCTCTTTTAGAGCTCTTACGAACTGAATCTCCTAATGGCTAATTTTTCTGCTTTAGAAGTTAAATGGCATCTTTGAGGATTATTCTCTTTTTCTGTGGTGTCCCACTCCTCCACAGTAGGCAACTGTGACTTTCACTGGTTTGAAGTTGCTAAGGGACTTCCATAATTGGTTTCTATGGGGCACCCCCATCCCAAACATCAGGGCTGATTCCTGCTCTTCAGCCATTTCTGCTTGCTTTCTTTCACAATATTTGTGAAATGTATGTTGTAAAGTTTCTGTGCCTCAGGTTGCTGTATGAAAGCTCCAGCTTTCGCAGAACTCGTCTGTCCTGCTGTCTGTGATTTGAATGTGCACATCCAGACACATGCCCCTTTAAAGCCCACAGGTTAATTTTCCTCCTTGAGGAACTATGGATACCCTTAAGCTCATCTTCTTCAATGACTGTACAAGTGTTTATATGGGGGAAATTAAATCATATCAGGGAGGTTGTGAATGCTCCATCCCTGGCAGTGTTCAAGACCAGGTGGGACGAGGCCTTGGGTGATATGGTTTAGTGTGAGGTGTCCCTGCCCATGACAGGGGGGTTGGAACTTGATGGTCTTAAGGTCCATTCCAACCCTAACTATTCTGTGATTCTATATTGTCAAGGAACAAGTTCTAAGTTAAAGTTCTGAAGCCGTACTTTAGCACCAAAGAGTTGACTTTGCCTCCCATCTCCATCCCTATGGAAAGACCATACACACACATTTTGAGAAGGGACTTCAGACTCTATCTGCCTGCTATGAATCATATGGATACATCGTCATCAGCCCTGCCAGCCCATAGTGTGTCAGAGATGCCAACATCCTGTTTTACAGCCTTTGGGGAAACTTGCTTCTATTGCAGTTTCCTTTCTGCATCCTTAGTGGCACACTGACCCCCATCTTTTCCCAGGGAACTGGTGGAATCACCACCCCTGGAAGTATTTGAAAAACAAGGCCCTTAGTGACACAGGTTAGTGGTGGCCTTGGCAGTGCTGGGGAATGGTTGGACTGGTTGGTCTTAAAGGTCTTTTCCAACCTGCTTGATTCTGTGATTCTATGATTCTATCTGACCTCGGGTGTCACAAGGGGGACTTCATCTTCTCCACATCCTTGAGACTGCTTTAAGCTGCATAACCAAGTAGGGTTTGAGCCATTCGTATTCCATCTCTATCTGCATACTGCTTTCCTTTTTATAGCTGAAGTATCTCCTCCCTGCCCACCACAGTGGCCCCCTGGAGTTGTCCTGGTGTAAATAACCCAGTCATATGTTCTGGCTTATAGCAAACAAGAAATTGGAGCTTCATAATAGCTTTTAGGATTTTTCCATAGTTTTCCAAGGCAAAATCTGGGAAGACATTTGCCGTTACACAAGTAAATACAGTTTGTGCCACGTGTCTCTGGGATCTGTGTTGTGTGTCGACGCAGTGTCTACTGTGCAGAGCTTGCAGTGGAGGTGTCCTGCTTTAAATAATACTTTTGCTTTCACCCTCAACAATCAAAATTCATTCTAAACTTGGAGCATATTTTAATTTTCATGTATTGTAACCATTATGAAAGGAGCTGGTGTGGCTCTAAGGCAAAGCATTACATAGCTCTCTGTGTGGCTTCAGCCTCTGAAGTAACACCAGAAGTCTCTGCAACCTCTATTTAAAATTATTAGTTGAAAACACCATAGTAGGATCATCAACCTTTTAAGTAGCTCCTAACAGGCAGAAACCAAAGCTTTTGTCATGTGTTATTGTAAGGGAAAGGAAACTTGCTTGTGTTTCATCTGTGTTGGTAATGAAGTGCTGAATATTTGGCAATGATCACATAGAAATGCTGTGTTTCGGTTAGTGTGTCTCTGGGGTTTACTAGCATGGATTGTCTGAGGATGTATGAGGATCAGTCTCTATGAAAAGGCATGAGAGAAGTGCTTTGGATTCATAGAATTCGATGAGTAAAAACCACATGGAATAATGAGTTATTTCAGTGTCCTTTGTCGGAGAAGAGCTGTTTGGAAGCTTTTGGAAGTACTCAAGTACCCATTGAACTGGAGGTTGGTTTGTTTAGCAGAACTCAAAAGAAGAGGATAGATTTAGATTAGACATTAGGCAAAAGCTCTTCGCTGTGAGGGTGCTGAGGCGCTGGCACAGGGTGCCCAGAGAAGCTGTGGCTGCCCCATCCCTGGCAGTGCTCAAGGCCAGGTTGGACACAGGGGCTTGGAGCAAGCTGCTCCAGTGGAAGGGGTCCCTGCCCGTGGCAGGGGTTGGAGCTGGAGGAGCTTTAAGGTCCTTTCAAACACAAACCAGTCTGGAATCCTATGGACTACATCTAAAACATTCTCTATAATGGAAGTACTTACAGCTCTTGGTGAGGCCATGAAGTCTTTCAGGTGCCTGAAGAGAAAGTGTCAGATTGATGGTGCTTGAAATGGAGATTCCCATCACACCATAAACACAGCACAACAACAGCAGCGTGAGATTACTCAAATAAACCTGCAGTGGTGAGGAAAATGCCTTTGCAGTGCAGCAAACAGTTTATTCTCTTATCATTTCACTTCTTGGCTCCTCTGCTTGGACCAATATACAAAGCAGTGATGGCAGCAGCAGAGAAGTCTTTTTCTGTGAAAATGAGCACATATTGCTCCTAGATTCAAAGTGATACCTGCATCCGATCTTGTCTGGTGTGCAAATATCCTTACAACATGCATCAGTTGAAAAGAGACAGCTATTAATAATGTAAGGTTAACAGACATGAAAATGTACCCTTGCGGAAGGATGGATAAACCAATATTGGAAAAACTCTTGTACATTAGGAGGTTTCTGCAAGTGCTTTAACTGCACAGTAAAACAAGAGGAAAGTAGATTCTAATCAAAGCATTTCCATCTTTGTTGTAAACAATTACAGCAATACTTGCATGGATGCCACATTAGAAGAAATTTACTGGATTCCATTCTAATGCAATTAGAGCTAATTTTGTTCTTTAAATGAATAAAAGGTCAGCTAGTAAATCTAGTTTATCTCAAGTCCAGGCTTCAATAAATTGTTTTATTTAATTTGTTGTAAAAGATCTTATCCTTTAATGGGCCTGGCTCTTATTGGTTTGCTTGGGTTCTAAAATATTTATGACCACCTTTTGAGATATGATTTGAATGATATGTCAGAAGGGGTTTTTTTTTGACTGGGGTTTTTCTTTTCCATTCCAGTGTTATCAAGGTAGATTGCTAACTGAGTTAGTATAGGAAGGAACTAGAGATGCTATCTTCTTCAAAACAAAACAAAACAGAAACCCACAGCTAGTATAGGCTTCTAAATTTTAAGTCATCTGCAAATGATGAGCAGAATTTAATGCTGTTACTCAGCTGCATCATGGTTTCTTCTTGCCTCGCTGTTCTTCATGCACATAACTTTTTGTAAGCCTATCTATTGATGAGGTGTTGACATTCCAGCTACTACCACAGTGGATATAAACCTCAGCTAAAGCACGTGCTGTAATTTTTGATACTTCTGATAAATTTCTTCTGCGTTTAAATACAGGTCTTAAGAAAAAACACATGGCTTCTGACATTCAGTGCTTCTGTGACTTAGAAGCAGGATATATATTTGCCTTAGCATTTCAGGCCTTTGCTCCACACTTGTACTGCATGGTATCACAGCTCTGCCTTCAGCAGAGGAACCTGGAAACCAGACGTAAGAAGGGGACAGGCAGGTATTTTAACAGTGTTTAACTCGTAAACCTGACCTGCTGCTCTAACGAAGTTGCCCCTTGTCTTAGGTATTTTTAAAGTGAATAGAGAGGTGTCTTTCTCCAAAAACAAAAGGCACACGTGCTCAGATATGTGTGTCTATAAAAATGTGTATCGAATAACCTGTGGATTGTAAAATAAAATCCTAAAAGGATTAAGGGATAGAGAAATCTTTGTTATCCAGATATTTAATTGACTTCACTAAAGCTTTTTATCGCTTGGTAGGATATTATCAGCCTAACTGATGTTCATTTGGAGGCTCACTCAACTGCATGATATCCCCACAACAAAAGCCACCCGCAGAGCTGACATCCTCTGTAGGGAATCTCAAAACCAAGGGGCAATATAGATCAGATTATTTTGTGGCCAGTAGATGTGACCTCTCTATGTAATACTGGTGATCTAGAAGCGTGTATTTGGGACTAAGAGGACAGGGAAACCTGTTATATCACACTGAGTTTCAGTGATTGTCTGTATAAGAATCACAGAATGCTTTAGGTTTGATGGGACCTTAAAGCTCATCCAGTTCCAACCCCCTGCCACGGGCAGGGACACCTTCCACTAGATCAGCTTGCTCCAAGCCTTG